CTAGTTCCTGTCGTTAGTTTGTGTGTTTACCGTCCTGGTCTCCTTAGTCATCACTGCCCTTCCCTTGTTGTATGTATTATGGACCCTGTTTTGTTGTCATGTTGTTTTTATTCCATTAAACCACCTTTTTTGTACTAGCACCTGGGTCAGCCATCTTGAGTCCAACCCCAGTTCTCCCTCACCCTCCTGGTGAGGGGGACTAAACTATAACAATTAGTCAGTTGCTTAATTAGCTGATCATCAGCAAAGCACTGCCTTATCAAACTATAAATTTAAAATATTAAAAGCATTTTAAATATAAACTGAAAAAATAAAGACATTTACACATATGCTCAAAGAACCAAAGTCATAATATTTTCAGTGTTTTAGTGGTAACCACCCCCTCAAAATTCTTCATTGGCCAGCTAGTGGTGTGACCCCATGAAATACTACTACATCAAGACTGTACGCTGAGAAATCAGCCAGTTGTTTGAAATGAAAGTTTTGAATTCAGTCCATTTATATTTGACATCCAAAACATTTTGGGTAGCAAAAATGTATTTTGATTGCAGTAGCAAAGCTTTGCTCTCATACAGTATATGTTTTCTTTGACTGCAGAATAAAGAAACAAAATTACCATAAAAAACATTCTTTCCATTGGCCACATTATGATACATTTTGCAACTTTATCTAGTCTTCCAACGATGTTTTCCTCCCCTTTGAAAGCAATAATCCAGAGTAATGTCTTTCCCTGTCTCTTAAGCCCTTTCAAATACTCCAATTACAGCTCATTATCACTGTGAGGGGAAGCGTCTCCCTGCCTACTACATCATGCTGTCACATGGGGCGTCCTGTGCGACTCTAACCCCCCCTCCCAGAGGCATCTCATACACCCGGCACTGGAGTGAGCGATGAGTGAACACATGCACCAGTGCACTTGGTAATGCATCGCCACAAAGATCTAGAAAGGTCACATGTGAGGGCTTCATTCATCGCTGCAGTGCTTTGGGAGAAAATAGGCTGCACTCCTGGCTGATTTACAGAATCAACACGAAAGGGCAATGCCCCCACCCCCTCCCCACACCACCACCACCACCTTTTTTGTTCTTTCTCTCTATGCAGTTTTCCCTGTTTGGAGAATGCTGGTCCACACTGAATATTTTTATCCCTTTGAAATGCTGTTTTGGATTGGAAGGATGCAGCTGTATTCTGATACCCAAATCCAGTTTAATACAGTACATATGGAAGTGGAAATAACCAATAAAGCAAAGAAAGGCTATTGATTTTAAGTAATATAGCACTGGTAGTCAGATGGTGCTCATTTTGGTCGTAAAGGATAAGGCTGGTCATTCTATATATCAACGGTATTTCAAACACTCAGCATACAGAGAATAAAACCAACAATGATTTGCCTCTACTCATGATTAACATCTGTCAGTCTGCCTGTCCTGGATTACATTATTTTTCTGTTACATAGACCTCCATTGTTGTTCAAAAACAATTAAAAACACATTGCTGGGTGATGTTTCCTCATTATGAAACACCAGATCCTGATTTTTTTTTATGCTACCCAAAGGCTCCAAATGGCCACAACTTTTTACAGCATCTGAAGTAAGCAAGTGTCAAGGGCCCATGCACAAGATCTCTGGATATTCTCAATAAATATTAGGGGCTTGTGTTTTGTAATGAGGAAATATGTGTTTCACTGATGTGTTTTAATTGGTTATGAACAAAAACAGAGGTCTATGACACAGACAAATAAGCTAATACAGGACTGATAGATTGGCAGAAATGAATTATCCTTTAAGTGAAATATCTCAAGATGGAGAAGTTGCTTTGAAACTTTGCGCCGACATTCTCCAGGTGGTGAATCCTAATGACTGGTGATTCTGACTTTATCACATTTACACATTTATCACTTCATCGCCAAGCTGGTAGCTTGCTGTAACTATAGTCTTCTTAATATGAGATTTAACTTGCACCCTTGTATAAATAAGAAGAGACAGATGTAGTGTAAAGAAGAGCAGGTGAGATACTAGGTTTCAGCACAGATCATTCATTTTGCTTGGACTTTGGCACCTGAGCTTGGGATTGCACCCAAATCTCTGCCTCAGACACACAACTTCACACAATTTTCCACACATACATACACAGTTCAAAACATGCACAATTGCAGCAAGAAAAAAGTGGCTGGTGGAATTCATGGCTTAGAAATTCCCAGCATTCATACTTAGTTTGTGTGAGCTAAATGAATGAATAGTCTGTATGAGCACAGAAAGGCTACATACTGGATCTTCACAGGGAAAAATCACCTCAACTCATAGAAACTATTTAGATAGTACTGTATCTTTAGGAGGGATAGGAAATAACAAATAAAAGATATCCCCTATATTTGAATATCTCTAGTCTCCTCTCCTCTTCACCTTATTTTTGAATTTTCGTGCTTTGTTGTTGAAAATACTTCTGTGAACTTCTGTGCATAACTTGAATGCACAGGATATCTGACAATAGAGGGTAAATGTTTTGTTAGTCTGTTCTTTTAACCTTAAATAGTCAGGCTTTACTATATGGGCAGTGAGCCCAGATAATTCATTCCCTACAGTTTGGAAAAAGGCCCACAGTTACCACACAATGAACTACAATAATGTAATGGGCCTTATCTCCCAGACAGAGCGAATACAGAGAAGACTGTTGAACAAAGTGGCCTGTAAATGCGGATGATATTCAATTAAATGTAATCTTCTCTTTTTTCATTCATGATTAATCTCCGGGTGAAGTGATTTGGATGTTTTTGATTACACTCCTCTCTATTGACAGGAAAACCAGTTTCAAGCAGAAGAATCAGCTCACATATATTTATAAAGCGCTCTTAAAATAAATAGCACAAACATTACACACTACACATTACACATTACACTACAGCAAACACTGGCCTGCAAAAAGTGGACATCATGGATCATTTCTTACTTGCTGAACTGCACTTTTTCTAATCAGCAGAATAATGGCACAATTCCAGTCCTAGTCCTGTCTCAGCTCCATGTTGTCCTTGTCATTTTTTAGACCCAGCCCCTTGCTTTGTCCTCTCTTCCTGCTCCTGCTACCTTCTCTGTCTGGCTCCTCACACATTCACCTGCACTTTCTTTGTGCAATCAGCCAGTATATAAGCCAGTGGCCAGCACTCATTTTCTGTCAGACTGTCACAGTACAATGAACACAAACACCGAACACATTGTTTCTTGCTTCTGGTCAGTTGTTTGGCCCTTGTTTGAACTGTCTGCTTCAGTCTACCTGTCTGGCATTAAACCTTTTTGCCCCTTAACTATGACTCAACCTGATCCCCTCATGGACTTGCTTGTATTCTCCTGCATACTACTTATCTGGGCACTGTTGTCCCTCTGCCCTGTTCATCTGGGAATCCTCACTGAAAGCGAAATGGTAGTGGCACATTCAGTGTCTTTGTCAACAGAGCAACTACCTGCCTGACAGCAGGACAGTGGAGTCTTCACCAGGCTGACTGACAGCAGAAATGGACTGAATGAAAATTGTTTTGATGTAGGCTCATCCGAAAGAAATCAGTGGTGTTTTTATGTATGGTTTATAGATTTTATTGATTTTCCCCGGCTTCCTACAGAGGGCGAGTGAAAGTGAAAAATTTTGCAACACAAAATAACTGGGGATTTGCATGATTTAAACAGCTGTCTGTGGAGATTACGCTTCACTAAACACAGCAGAGGGGAAAAGAAATAGAACTGAAGCTAAAAGAATGCAGGGAGATGTGTGTGTGTGTGTTAAGTGACACGTTTGACAGAATGGAATTCTATCTGCAGTGTGAAACGCGAGTAAAAAAACATCTAAAAACATTCTCTGTGTGAATTAAAGGTTTGCTACTCTCCTGAGATAGATTACCTACTTTGTGACCACCTGTTTATGCTTACAAAAGGTATCTCTGTTTATATGGTTGTCACATGAGTCCTTCTGGAAATTGTGCCTTATCATTATTGTTCTGCCATTCTTCCCCCTGGAATAAGTATTGACCAGTTAGTTTAAATTACAGTCAGTGTTCATCTCTGTTTGCCATATTACCTTGTGCTGCTCAAGTTGCCATTGTGGTGCCATTAAAGTTGCGTTCTTATTTTACTACTTCCTTGTGCCTCTGGTTTTCATCTGAGTTCTAAGTTCTAAATCGTGACATAGTTATTAAATTGTTTTGAAAGATCACCCCACATTTTTTATTACTTTGGATCTTTTTTTATGCCAAGCTTCAAACTACTATTGCACATTCAGCAAGGCAGTGCAAGATGACAAATAAGCCTTGCTGCTACTGCTGGCCGTGTTCACTCAAGGTAATGTACTGCTGCTGCTCTCTCCTTTCTGCCCAGATCACTGAGCTCTATAACATCAAGAGCATTACCCGGATGCCACGGGAAACAAAAAAGCACGCTGTGGCGATCATCTTCTGTGATGACACATCCAAGACATTTGCCTGTGAATCGGGTAGGTGCCTGTTCCTGCATTCAACATTTCTCTTTTTCAGCTACAGTAGAGTAGGGGAGGACAGAAAGCATTGACTACTGGGAGGGGTTAGTTTCATAGCTTGTGAAAAGTTTAGCAAGAAGTGGACAAAGAATCAGAAGGAGAAAGGTGAAAGAGACAGTGGAGACTGATGCTCATTTGCTGCTATATTAAGACATGGGATGATCTGCTCTGAAAATATAGATTTTCATGCTGCAGGTATGAAAAACTATATTGGGTTTAATTTGCAGTGTGTTTCAACCCAGTTATGGACTGTAACAACAGAGATTGCTTCTTATACGTGGACAGAAAGCCAAAAAGGCACATGATGGGAGCATGGTTGGATGTGATGGAATAATCCATTCTTTGGTTCTGAAGCAGTGAATGCTGGATTGAAGGGGCAAGATAAGGTGGAACTCTCTCTTACTGTTACTCTTTCTGTCTCACTCTCTTGCCTGGCTCATTTCCATGCCCAGAGACATCCACCTCAAACTACCATATGGATGTTTATATCACCCCGTGTCCAGTGACCTTCCATGGTCCTTCATTTCCTGAAAGCATCTTACATTTACAGCCACTTTTTGGTCCTTTCTTTGGAGATTTACACTCATGTTATCACAGCTTTGAAGTCAGACTTGGTATTAATAGTTTGGTATATTTACATTTTATTGATTGAATCAATTTTTCAAAGTGATATAAATCTATGAAAGGAAATGATTAATTTTGTTAGTAAAAATAGGTCATTTGCTGCCTATTAGGGAGCTTTGTTATCGTAGTCAAAAATTAAAACTGTTCCAGCGTTGATATTATCAGATCCAGCTAGGTCAGGTTACAGGAGACCTTACATCAGATGTTAATTTGGCATAACGCCGTTCCAGTATGGCACAATGTCAGTGGGAGTTTGGATATGAAACCTGAATCTGGCAGCTGGAAAGCAAACCTCAAACCTATTTGAGTTTCTATCCAAAAACGCCAAGTAATTTAAGAAGTGTTGACTTTTATTAAAAAGAAAAAACTAATTGGGCCTCTTGATGATCCCCTGATTTTATTTTAAAAAAAAAAGCCTTTGATGCATCCACCCAAGCAGCACCCTGTTGTGTAGTGTGCTGTCACTGAAACAGGACACTGAACAAAAGACATTACATTTTGACAGTTGTGTGCTTTGGGAGCATCTGTCAAATATGCATCGTTAAGAGATATGAGAGTGTGACCTGCATATTAGATCGAAATGAGATATGAATAGTACCTAGTGCGTTACCTTCTTAAATACCACAGCTGAATCACATCCAAGTAATTAGAAATGCAACTACAGTATGTACACATATTGCGTGCAAGTCTATAATCACTGCCTGCTGCAGAAAGAAAAAGAGGATCCTGTCTCCTGATTCGACTCTCTCACAGTCTCACTCCAACCTCAAACCGTTCTATTTCTTCTGACTTCACAAACTCACTAACACAAAATGCTTCTCCATTCTTTTTCTATCTTCACCTTCTCACACAATATAGGCTGTTTTCTTCATGCACGGCACATAGAGTAGCAAGGCTGCCTCTGTGCTGATGAAGTGTTTGTTTAGCCGATTTTCCACTCAGTTGCCCTAAAATTGTAGGTGTTTAGAGGCACTTAAAGGCCATCGTAACTTTGAATGTGAAAAGCTGAATCTCAGGAGGCATGAGTAGGGAGCTAAAGCGAAGAGCCGCTTCTGCCTGTGAGCGTGTGCGTGCTTGTCTGACATTACTTATGCTGCGAGGACTGAGACTTGTTTTCGCACTCACATTGTGGAGACTTGGCCCACCAAGTAAATTATTACATTTCAGGTGAAAGTTAAGGTGTTAGGCAAGTGGTGGTTATGGTTAGGTTAGAGTAAGCCAATGTAAAGTCCCAAGAACATGTATGTATGTGTGTGTGTGTTTGTATTTCTGCTGTCTGTGTGTGCACAAAGTGCATTAGGCAGCAGCAGACCTTGTTTTCATCCTTCAAGATTGCATACATCCATCCCATCGGGCACTAGAGTTGATTTTTCACTATGCAGGGATTGCATAAGCTAGTGCATTAAGTAAGAATACATTTCCACACACATATAACATATGTGCTGACTTCTTATTAATACATGCAGAAACACTGGGCCATTGCCATACTTCCACGTGTGTCTCTGTACACATAACAGGCTATTGTTACAGATCCCAGAATTCCACAGGGCCTGGAGTTAAAGAGCTTCACAAAGATAAACAACTCTAGCATTTGCCTTATTTACTATCACTGAAAGCTCACATAAGACAATTTGAAATCTATTATTTGTATTAACAGGAAGGAAAATGGTATTCACAGACAACAGACTACCACAGAGACCTCCAGATTTGATTTATGAAGTCATTCATCTCGTTGTTGCCTCTGATCAAAGTACTCAGTCTGACGGTGAATGCCCTTGCTCCTTTTCTTGTCAACTAACTTGTGGTAGATATAACTTTCCACATTACCCTCAGTTCTTAAAACAGTTATGATTGCAGAAGTCTGTTTAATCTGCTGCAAATAAACCAGATTGATTTTTCATCACCCTGGTTAGAGTTACTGTAGCTGTACTCATGTCCTATATTGTACTGTACATATATATGCAGCTTTTTATTCAAAGATTCCTCAGGTAATTTATGTGCATGTGTAAACACTATAAAGGCAGCAAAAGTTGTGGTAGTATAATCTTTACAGCATGTTTTATTATGTCTGCAGTGTTGGACATGGATGAGGTGTGTATGTGTGCCTTAACAATGAACCACTGTGTTGTTGATTGCAGAGCTGGAAGCAGAGGAATGGTGTAAGCTGCTGTGCATGGAGTGCCTGGGCACCCGTCTTAATGACATCAGCCTGGGAGAGCCAGACCTGTTAGCTGCAGGGGCACAGCAAGAGCAGAACGGTGAGTGCCCATCTACAGACAGGCATTCAGGGTCAATCTGTCTCATACAGCCCACCACCAAGCAGAGAGCAACTGCAGTTTGGGACCATATGTGTTGGAGTCCTCAGAGTGTTATGGAAGCAGAACAACCACTGCCCAATTAGGCCTGGTTAATAAGGGCCAGATTTTGTCAATATCCTCTTCTGATAACTCCTGCAACAGTTTTTAGTTAACACATGTTAGTTCAGCTTCAGAAATACACTTCTGTGTGTGGGGGAGAGAGAGAGAGAGAGAGAGTTAGAGCACAGGTCACAGGCTGCGGTCGGAGCTCTGTTCCAGGCCTAATGAGAAGTGCTGTACATCACTGGCTTCCCTCATAATGAAGCTTGTCACAGAGATGGATGCGATTATGGTTCCTGAAGCCATGTGAAATAAATGTGCCTGTCCCGCATATTCCACTCACAGGAAATGGAAAAGAGACGCGACAACAGGGCACTACTGTCACAGTGGAGCTTATTCTCTGTATTTTT